GGGGGGGTTTTCTTTCAGATTAAAAAATAAAATGGTAAGTTCTCTTCTCTAATAAAATTTAATTTGAACATGTCTCTTGAATTGACATTTTGGAATCTCTGATAGGAAGAAATCAAGGAGGAAGGTCACGTGATTATAATTTATATATGCAGCTATCCTGTTTCTTCTGCTGTTTGATCCGATGCATGATCATTTCAACAGCTCTTATATTCCTACCTCTCATTCTATAAAGTGCTAAAACTAGATTACTAATAATTTGCATTTATAATTTATGAAAAAAGTCATTACCTTGGATTTGGTATTTCTCCAAGAATTTCATCTAATTTGTCAATGAAGTTAATAAAATTAGACAATCCTTTTACATGTGTCATTAAAGGATCAGATGGTGACGGTGCATATCCTTTCCCTCCGAGTTCTATCGTTCTAATAAATGATGTGGCCACCTATGAGTCAAAACAAATGATTTAGTTACATCTAGGGATTTAATTAGTTACCATTTATAGTTATATTTATATAATTCTTGGAATATTGGCAAAGTGAAACATTTCTTATGACTCATGCCACACTTTGACTCAGAAGCAAGTAATCAAGTAAAACAGGTGCCATACAGATTCATGCCATGATGATGGCCATGGACACAGAGATGAGAAACTGGGTTAGGGTCAAGTCAAGGGCATAAGAACATATCATAAGTCACATCATTGGCTATAAAGAATTAGTGCATGGATACATACATTGAATACTGGCTACTAGAATTATTAAATGGTAAAAGTTTTAAATGACTACTTTGTTAATAAATTAAGGTTGGGCAATCAATTCAGCTCTTCTAAGTCTTGGATATTTTTTATATATAAAATGAAGATTTCAATAGATATCCACTAAGTCTTATCTAGACTTCATATTCTAGTATTATTCAATAATGGATAATCATAAGATCTTGCCTTACAATGGTGGTGGCTATACATAATAGCATCTCCATCAAAAATGAAATGTTTTAAAGTAGCATTTTCCAAAGTCTATCCACAAAAGGATAAATTCTATGAAATGTTTATAATGGGGAGAAAATTCCATGGTCAAGTAGCAATGGAAACAACAGATTAAACAAGTTTAACTTCAGTAGATTTCTTTATAGCAGGACTTTTCAGACTTCTTGATACATAAACATATATTACATATACCCAATAAAGGCATACAAAATTTCCAAACATGTTGTCCTTGGAAACATTTATTCAAAGAACATATAAGAGGGACTGTTTTTAAAAATTACTAATGAGGTACCAATATTTTATATACTTGTACTTTCACAATATAGGCTTTCCCCCCTCAGGTGTGGTCATCACAGTTTTCCAATCACCAAAGCAACCGCAGTCCCCCATCCTAATCCACATTGCACTCCTTCTCCCCTTTTAACAGGGAATTTTTTGCCTTTGAGAATAACTGTTCCAGAAAATTTAACACAGCCAGCTAACAGTCTACACAGCACATGCAGGGAACTGCTGCTTTGGAAAAATTCTTCCTTATCAAATTTAAAGGCTACAGTAAAAAATTAAAGTAACATAGATTTTCAAATACAGAGTTAGAACATACACAATTTAAAAGTTGATTTATGATAGGTACAAGAATTATTCATTATGTACATAGAATCTTGAAAAATCTGGAAATGTAACATGGCCATACCAAAAAGATAGACATTTGCTTCTCTCGAGCTGCATGCTTCAAATCGGTGAAGGCTTCTGTTCCAAGTCCTCTCTCAGGAATATTGAGAATATGAGCCAGAGCCAGGTCATTCTTTGAATTCACTAGTAGGTTTAGGTAAGAGTAGATAATTTTCCTTGCTAGTAACTGTACCTATATAATAAGACATTGATATTTTCTTCAGTGAAGTTGTTCTAAATCCATAATAATCTGTATCATAGGCAGTAAAAATACATACAATCACTCAATGACAGTATCTCATTTAACTATCTGGGAAAAGATAAATACTTTATAAACCAAAAGTTTGTGTTAGACAGCCAACAAATTCTTGCTCATGAGACCAACTTTCTGCCAGTGAGAATATATATGAGTAAATCTAAACTATTATAATTGTTTAAAAATGGTTTTCAGAAAAATCCTATAAAAAAATTCCAATTCTTTATTTTTCAAAAAGCCTAATCTTATTTCCCCGTAGCCTTTTGCTACAAAATAATAGCCAATAATGGAACCTCCTAGCACTTCAGGCATAGGCCTGCAGGCTCTATTTGGTCCTAGATCTACAACCCTTATAGAACTTAAAATAAGGGCTGAAGTTAAATAGCTAATCTTTTTAGAATTATTAGATACTGACTTTGACAATACCAAATAATCAATTAAGGACTAAAATAAAGAGATTTAAGCAAGTAACAAGAAATAGTTCATGCTGATATTAATTCATCTCACACAAAGCTATAAATCATTTAAGCACAAGATAAATAATATTTGGAAGAACTTCATGTGGGTATTAGTTCTTTCATAAATATTGTCCTCCACACCAAAATGATAAATTAGGGCATTCAATGATCATTTTCTTAAAATTACTCATATCTGGGCTCTCCCTGGTGGCGCAACGGATTAAAGCACCGCATTATGAAGCTCTCAGAAGCCACTGCAGCACGAATTGGATCCCCACCAGGGAGCTGACCCACATGGTGTGGCAGACCTCTACTGACCCACCCACTGCTCCCCTCAGCAGTGTGCTTCCTCAGTCTGCCTGTTCTGCTCCCCACTCTGTCTCTGGTAAATCCTCTCACCCACCATACCTCTGCCTTGTCCCCCAGTTCTATAAGCATAAATAAATAAATCTTTTAAAAAAATTACTTATACCTATTCAAGGCCTTGCAACATCTAGTATTAAAGGAAAAATGACCATGTGAACTTCCACAGATTACAACTATAAAATATTTGGGAAAATTAAAAAGACAAACATGTAAAGATATTTGAAGTATCTAAAAAGCAGATACAAGCTGGAGAGGATTTAATTATAAAAGAGCTGCAACAAGAAGTGTAAGAATTACAAGTTTGTAGTTATTTAAGGTCCCACAACTTCTTATAATAAGGAAAAACAATACTGTGGGCCTCCACAGATAACAAAAACAATACATTAAATAAAAATTTCAAAATGTTATTTTAAAATACTAGAAAATATTTAGAATATAACATAAATGCAGTGAAAGAGTATGAATGAAGCTAGTAATTTACTAGCTCAGAGGTACAGAAAACAGAAGTAACTAAACAAAAATGTCAGAGATGAGAATTTAGTGCTGGGAAAGAAAGCAGCTAAAATTTTTAAGGGGGAAATCCTGGAAACAACTGAGAGCATAGGTAGTCAAAATCCCTGACACCTCAACTATGCAAGTGAAAGGGACATTCCAGGGAGTCCATTAAAAGCACAAGCACTAAGATATATATTCTAAAAAGAAAGATTGAGCAATGGGGAATCAGAGGCACAAAATTGAATTTTTTTAAAATACATTTCAAAGCTGCATAGTTTAAGTAAGCTGAACAGACTTGAAGTGTCAAGTGTACAGGCCTGTACAACTAGAATTCAAGAAAATTCCAAGAAAAATGGAAACCACAAGATAAACTCCATCTCTCTTCAAATCCAAGTCTGGCATGCAGAGGGGAGACTTACAAAATCCAAGCTAGGAAAAAAGGAGGAAAAAAAAGAGCAAAAAGAAGTTATGACAACATCCAAACATCCACAATGAAACATATCACCAATAAAACAAAGTAAGAAGTGGAATTCATCCAATATTCCTCAGAAGAACATGACAAAAACCAGACTCACTATAAAATATGATCCATAATATTCAGTTTTCATCCAAAAATTTGAATCAGTCAGGTAGACTCAAGAGAAAAAGTAATCAATAAAAACTGTCACCAAACGGACTTAGATATAAGACTTTAGCAGGCAAAATGTCAAGGCAGTTACTACAAATATGTTGAAAGAACTGAGAGAAAAAAGATTTGATGAAAACACATTATAAATAAATGAACAAGTGAAACAATAAAGTGAGCAATATAAAGAATAGTAAATTCTAGAGATGAAAATACAGTAACAGACAAATTTGTTGGATAAGCTCAACAGCAAATTGGAGAAAATACCAGGAAACTTAAAGATGTACAAATAGAAATCACCAACTCTGAAAAATAAGGGGAAAAAATGAAGGAACTGAAGTGACCTGTGAGACAACTTAGAGAGGTCCAACATGCATGTAATTGGAATCTCTGCATAGATGTGAAAGGAACAGGGGAAAAAATTTGACAAAATTATGGTGAAAACACCCCAAATATGGTAGAAACCATTAATTGACCCCAGGAGTCACTCAAGTAGGAAAAACACAAAGAAATTATATGATGTACATTTCTTATCACCAAGGATACATTCTGAGAAAAGCATCATGTATAATTTCATTATTATTCAAATGTCACAGAATAATTACAGAAATATGGATAGATAAGTCTACTACACACCTAGGATATATGATGTCACCACTGTGTGTGTGTGTGTGTGTGTGTGCGCGCGCGCGCGCACTCTGTAGTTAACTGAAACATTAAACAACACATAACTATATACATTCTAATCAAATTTAGGAGCCATAGATGTGAGAAAAATTTGAAAGCAGCTAGAACAAACAGACATATTACATGCTGGGATGGCAAGGATAAAGTATCAAAGCTGGAAGACAGTAGAACAACATATTAAATATGCTAAGAAATGACCCTTAAAATTACTGTACAATTTTTAAAAAGCAGATAGCATAGTATTTGCAAAGGAACAGACTCACAGAGCATGGAATAGTATAGAATCCAGAAAGAGACCCATACAAATATTACCTTTTCAGAGAGGTATCCTGATTTTGCAGCTAAAACTAGTCATTCACACACACACACACATACAAAGTAGTCAATCACATTCTCACTTTTCTATCACCCTATTTAGCTCTCTGCGGAGATCTTAATTCTTCTTGACACTTTCTTTCTTAATCTTTCTACTACCTTACGAGTCCCATGAGAGGAAATGACGTATGCTTAGCACCTAGAATGACCAGCACAACAGTTGGTAATTGATCCATTTTTTGTTAAAAGGGGTAATTTTTTTCCAGTGGTGAATAATAGAAAAATTGACACACATTTGACCCTTTTGTAATTTCAAGGTTGAAATTCTATTAATAAAAATAAGCACTCAGGTTTTCATTAAATTATCATAGGGGGAAAAAAAACTATTGCACAGCTGAATTAAAATAATCGTTAACACTGGTTGGTCCCAAAATTGTATAAAACAAGATAGAACAGTTTTCTGCTTACATTTCAAATGTTATTTTATCTTCTCCACAATCACAATACTTCCTGTGACTCTATAATACAAAAATTTCCATTTAAAAAAAAAAGTTTCATTTTAACTTTACAGGGCAAGGTCTCTAAAAGGCATGAATTTTTTTCTTTAGCACATTTGGGAAAAGTAACAAAATTTGCCAAAAATCAAAGCAGAGGAAAAGTGACATTTATATCAGGAAGTTTTAAACTTTTCTACTTAATACCACCTCTCTCTCACTGTGCTGCTACTGTCCACAAAGAATGATGTTTTACCAGTACCTATATTCCTTATTGCATACAAAACCAGGGCTTTAACTCCTACATCTAAACTTGCTCCTTAAGGCTAGGAAATTCTGTCCTGACCTGTAATGCATGGCAGATATTAAGGGAAAACATCTTGGAGTCCTAACTCTGGCTGCTATTGGAAATCTCTACCTATTATTATGGTCAGATAACATGGCAGTTACGGTTTCCCTGTTGTTGTATTTGTAAGTGGGTTTTAAAGAGGCTCTTTGGAAAAGTCCACATAAATACAGTCCTGAGGTCCAGAAACAAGGGCTTAAATTGAAAAATCCACAAGATTGAAGCTTTTTACCAAGATACCAAAACTAGAGATACTGTTCTATTTGTTTAACAAACTGATTCTCTCTGTGCCACAAAGTATTTGCAGTGTTTGTTTAGAAACTGAACAACTGTATTTAAGTTTTCTGACAACTCTAGGATTGTTTTCCTACCCTTAATTACTGAAGTGCAGATATTCTCTCAATTTGTAAAAAAAAAAAAAAATCCGTTTTTCTGATTTTTAATAGATTTTAACATGTTAATAATATAAATGGGGATTTTTTATTTTCTTTGCCAACACATCATTTCTTATATATAATGACCAAAAGAAAAAGAGACTAAAACATAGCAGAAATTTTACTTAACTGGTGACTTTCTTTTGGGAACTTTCTTTTTTAACTTTAAAACTTTAGAATCTCTAAAGCATTAGTTTAATATCTAGGGAAAGTAAGATAAAGTAAGGAAACAACACTGTTCCTCAAACTCATTCCATTCATCTGCTTGAGGACTCAGGTTGAATCGATAGCACATCTGGTGCAATGCATCTTTGCAGGGCTTCCATCCAAAAACTCACTTCAGAATTTTAATAGAAATATATTTACTTCAAAAGATACTTTGTTAAAAGAAAAATTAATAACCTACAAGTAGCAGAAAAATGACTGAAGATGGCTGCTACCTTAATAGTCCCCATGAAGCCAAATCCATCATTTAGGTAATAGATTAAAATTATCTTAGCAAATGACATCTAAGAAGGCCAAAGAGAAAGAGGAAGAGGACTAATATAAGGGAACTATCATTTTTTACATGAGAAAACTATATGATTACAATGAAGATGCACCAGTTTCTACATATATATTATAATCCTTTGTCATGACTATTCCTTTAAGATAATCTTTTAGATCTGTAAGCAAAATTCTAAAAGGTTGTATCAAATTTTTTTATAACAAAATAGCCTTTTATATATGAAATTAGCTCATTCCTCTTAGTTAAAGTCACTCTAACAATTGTTTGCTTCCATTAGAGCCTGCGAGATATGATCAAGGAGAAAAGATCTGTAAGTGATCTTCATGTACGAATGTATTCCTGAAGCCACCAAGAAAAAATCAGGGTTTTGTCAAGATGGAGGACAGGAGGGAAAAATGGAGACTGTTTAAATTAAAAAAGTAATAGTAAGGGCTCTCTCTGGTGGCGCAACAGGTTAAAGCACAGCATTATGAAGGTCTCCAAAAGTTACTGCAGCATGAGTTCCATCCCCAGCCAGGGAGCTGACCCACCTGGCCCACATGGCGTGACAGACCTCTTCTGACCCGCCCACTGCTCCCCTCAAGAGTGTACTTTGTCCATCTGCCTGTTCTGCTCCCCACTCTGTCTCTGGTGAATCCTCTCACCCACCACACCTATGGCCTGTACCCCAGTTCTGTAAGCATAAATAAAACAAATCTCAAAAAAAAAAAAAGTAATAGTAAGAAAGATAAAATAGTGACAAATTACTAACAGGGACCAAATCTGGGCAGGGAACATTGAAAGGTCAGTTTGGGATATTGTCTTACACCAGAAAAGAAGGAAGCGCACAAAAAGACAAGTAGCATCTAGAAAAAAAGACATAGGAAGTCAGAGTGAAAGGCCACCAAGTGAAACAATTAAATAGTGACCCTACCATTTTGAGATACCTGTACTTCAATCCAGTAGATAAGTAGATAAGATAAAGCTCTTTACCCAGAAATAGAACTTAATTAATATAAAGACATGATAAATGTTAGAAACTCACCACCATGCAAACCCTACTGAAAGCATTGATACAATGTACAACATGTTTAAAACCATTGGTGGAATTGTTGGGGAATAGAACATTTCATACAATTTCAAAGTATCACACACATGTCTTTGATGACAGCCAAAGGAAAACTACATCTGTATATTAGAGAGACCTGGTAACTCAGGACTTAAGTTTGCATCTTCTGATAGGATACAAAATGAAATATTCAACACCAGTTATAAAGCATTTGCTACAATTTTTTCAATTGTACATATCCTCTCAGAAGCAAAGTCTTTAAAACAGTAATTTGTGATGTTCACCAGAGCCTTAAGAGCTCTAGTAATCTGGACATTCATTTCTTTTTCTGATACTTCGAATGATACCTACTTTTATACAGTTCTTAACTATCTTGGCTCAAAACAATAAAAAACTGATGATCATGTTTGCCAATATCTAATATATTACTTTTTGCAAATATAATACTTACATGAATTTTAAAAATTAAATAACTATAATGTACAATCAAATACATAGTGATGTGAAGAGGACCAAATCCTGCTTTAATTTACTCACAACTTATCAGTACCTTTTTGTTATCCTGACTGTGTTCACTAGTTGGGGATGCTGGCACAAACACATCAGTTTTGTCATCTGCTGCATACTGTTTGCCAATCAGAAAATCCAGTAGTTGACTCTGTAGAAAATACAGAATATTATTAATAAAATGACATACCACTTCTGAAAAGTATTTCGCATCTTGCAGTAGTCACTGACATTCTTGTGAACCTAATCTTTTGCATTCTGACAAAAGCATATATGAAATCAAACTTCCTAATAATCTGTTTCAATGTACTCAGAGGATTTGACAACTTCAGAGTTAAAAATGACCTTAGATGTAATGAGCATTTAATTGGATGGTTTAACTCATAGCAGTACCATAAAAGACCAGGGGAGGAAAAAAAAAAAACAATGAACAACTATATATCAGAGACATTTTATGGGGGTGGAGTGGGGAAGGGGAGATGGAAAAGGCACAAAATGATGTAAAAATAAACTATTGTAAAATTTTTTTAAAAAGAATGTAATGACTATTTAATTTTTATGGAAGATGAAAATCAAAGACAAAGAGGAGTCTTACTTCAAGCCCACAATAATGTCTAAACACACAACTCAAACAAGATTGATTCCAAGAAGAAAATAACACATAAAGAGATAGTTGCTTTCATCCTGCCACATTACTCAACTTCTCCACATTATTTTTGCTAAAGGACTCAAAATTATATAGGTACACATACACACAGTTCCTGATGAGTAAATCTAAAGGGGAGGTACAAACTGAATTAGCAAAATTCAACAAGATTACCATCCACTTTCTTCTCAGCTATTGCAACATTATAATTACAATAGCTCACCATATACACTTCTTCAACAACAACAGAGCTTATGTGTTCAACAGCAACAGAGTAACAGAGCTACTGATATAAGCCACTGCTCATAAAGAAAAAGAAAATAACTAGGGAGACTTTCCATAATACATACAATCTTTCAATCTCAAAATTCAAGATTACCAAAAAAATGACTTATTACTTTCTATAATAATTTATTAAATTCTGAATAGAATTAATTCTCACACTGTGGTTCCTATATTTTCAAAAGAGGTATTGAAAACAAAGATTGTCTTTTTTAAAAACACCATTTCATTAAAAAAAATTTTGGAGAATATTACCTCTGGTTAAACTATTTTCATATTTAACTACAGATAAAGTATATTACTTTAAATCAGTGTATCTTAAATCATGGTCTAAGGATTCCTAAGGTCCCTAATACACACTTAGGGATCCCAGGAAGAATACTTTTACCCAACGATGTACCAACATGAAATCATATTTTCTTGAGATACTTTAATCAAAGCAACATATATCCAATAGAAGCAGATAATACTCTCATTGGCTTATCAGAAGATTCTCTTTGTTGTTCCTACAATCCAGTGAATGCTATGTTCTATTACCCTCTCTAAATCAACTATGTGAAAATGAACCAAAATGATCTCCACAAACAAGCAATGAAAAAAAACTCACTTCTCTCAAGCATCCTTACCAGAGTGTGGAAGAAGATGTGTGGTATGCATGTACAGGTATGCTGTGTTTTGAGAAAGTTACAATAAGGCAAAGGTTTTCATGATAGCAGAGTGAAGTAAAGACAGCAAACTGCCTGCTTTGTCCTTAGTAACAGGACTTTAGTTTTTATTTTGTATATTGCTACTAATTTTTCCATATTCCCTAGCACCTTGGTATGAGCATGTGACTAAGCTTTGGGCAAACAGTAGGAAGCAAAACGACTGATAACTCTTTAAAAAGAAAAGATTAGAGCTGTTCTCCCTTACTCCTTTGTGCGCCAAGGAATGCTGATGTAATGTCTGGGGCGCCAACAGTTATCTTAAACCACAGATGAGTGGTAGAGGTCAAGAACAAAGAGAGCAGAATGACAAAAAACAAAAACAAAAAACAACCTTATGTCTCCAATAACCATGGAGCTGTAACCTCAGTCCCAGGTGCTTACCTGAAGACTTACCTTAAGCCACTGTTACTATAGTTTAATACTACTGTACTGTAGTAAGAAAAAATACTTACATTTCAACCAAATAACACAAGTTGAACAAAATTTACCACCACAAAATTTCTTTCAAGTAATGACTAGCTAAATTATCAATTCTTAAAGATTTATTTTTTTATTTACTCATACATACAAGAATTGGGGTGTAGGTCAGAGGTGCCAAGGGTGAAAGGATTCTGGGGAGCAAAACAGGTGAATCTCCTGATTCACCAGAGACAGACCGAGAAAGGGGGTCAGAACAGGTGAATCTATTGAAAACCATTGCTGAGGGGAGCAGCAGGTGAGATGATGAGGGCACTGCACCATGTGGGTCAGCTCCCCCCCTGCCCGGGGATCGAACTCATGCCACTGTAGTTGGCGATAGCTTGACAGACTGAGATCAAACCCCTTGCACCACCAGGGAGCCGGTTAAATTTTCTATTCTTAACAGAATCCAGTAACATTATCAAGTTACTATAAATGCTGATACTGTAGCTTAAAATAAAAATGAATCTGGCTGAATTTTAATTTAAGACAGAATTATTTTTAAAAATACTTACTGAGGATATGTTGATACTATTTTCACAACTAGAAGACAAAGCACTACATTTTTTGTAGACATCAATCAGATCTAACATGTTACTGTTCTTTAAGAAATCATCGTAAGTCCTCCTAATGTTCTCATAATTGTCCGTCATTTCCATATCTTCAGCTAGTAAGTTCAATTTCTCATGTAGCAAATACTTCCACGTTAATAAGACATCACTGAGAGAAACTGTAAAGTCTCCAATGAGCTGAAAGAGACAATAAAAAGATAATGTTGGGTGCCAGAATGTTCACTGACTTATAATTGACAAGTACAAATTGATTATTACAATAAAATATTTAGTATATTGAATTCCTGTGATTTGAAAGAACATCCAAGTTTAGCTATAGGATAATTTTAAAGTGAGATTTAAAAGAAAAAGATTTGATGAATTCATAAAATATGAACTACATTGTTTTGCACATGATAAAGTTGGCAAATATAGTCATCATCTTATTTTACAAACTGGGGGGGTGAGTGCTCAGTGAGCTCCTCTTAAGTACTATTGATTACGGAAACATTTGATCCTGTTAATATTTAATTCTTTTTAGTTCTTTCAGCTGATGTATTTTTAATCTCTTCTTTAAAAGTGGTCAGTGCTGTAGTAATTCCCACATGCCATGCTATTTCAAGTTAGTCTGAAAGATCATAAAGATGATAAAGATTAAATTTTTTAATGTTTCATTTCATTATCAGAAAAATCAAAATACCAATCAAAACTTTGGGTCACAGAAGAATTTTGATTCTTCCCTTTCATGGACATGTAAGACAACAATAAATAAGTGCTAAAATGCCACCATCAAGTTTCTCTCTGTAAGTTGTCATATATTACTATATTACTAATCAGGCAAAATTGTTCTCTTCTTTTCTTCACTATCCACCTGATAAATTATCTCACTGGATAATTTTGAAAGCTCTTTTTTATAATTGCTTACACTGTGCTCTCACTTTAGTATCCCAGATATTAATAATGGCATCCTCTAAAAAATAACAACTGTAATTCACCGAAAAATTTCTAACTACTCCTTTCCAATGCAGCGTATGTAACAGATATTCTTAGGGACCCACACATAGTATTGTGAAATGTAGTATGCTGTTCTTAGCCACAGTTAAATTCTGTCAATATATTAGCAGTTTCTATAACACCAAGATCTGTGCATTAGTTGCATTTTAACAGAACTATAATTCACTGGAATTAGATTTAACACCATTGCTAGTCAATGAAGAAAAAATAGCGGAAAAAAAGAGCCAAATAATATAAAACTTTCTATGTACTTGACTCCTCTAATTCACATACTTTTAAATTTTATAATAATCAGCCGAATTTTCTAATTACATCCAAATTTAAGGCAAGATGTCTAAGATATCTAAAAATAATGAACACTTTATTCATCTTTATTGAGGCAACAAAGAAAATTATCCTCATTGTCCTTAGAGAAGGGACCTGTGATATAATCATGAAAATTAATCCTATTTCATGGAACTAGTTCAATAAACAACAAAAAAAAAATCAGTAACTTTCAAATCTTGGAGCCATAACCCAAGTAAAAGTCAAATTTATTTCTCACATTGCATCAAAAAGTATAAGCTTTACTTCCCAGTCCCAAAAAGGTTATAGACCATAAAATTTCCAATGATATTTAAGTAAAATCCCATTATTTGGAGTTTCAAAACTCAATTGTGTTATCTCAAAAACTACTTTGGTATACTATCCTTCACGTTAAAAATATATTTTTTCTAAAGTAAATGTATAACTTCGTCTCATCCTGTTGACTATAACTAGTTAAAGTAAAACTTCGCAAGCTCTTGATCTAGTGAGAAAAAGTTTTGACTAGATTAAACAGTGTTTATACTGGGATTGTAAAAACATTCTAAATCCAAATAAAAATGTACTCCAGATATCAGTTTTCATGATCAGGTGCTCACCATGACAACATATTCTATTATTCAAACCAGTAATAACTGATTGAGAGAGTCTGTGGTCAAATCAGAAAATGTTTTGCTAGGAAAACATGCCAGCTGGCTAATATTTGAAGGAAGTTCAAAATGTTCAATGCTTTAATTCTCTGATGGACATAAGAAGGATTATATTTCATAAGAATAGAATGAGAAAAAGTGAGTTATACTTCAGTACACTTGTACTTTACAGATTTTAGCAAAGCTATTTTTTATAATAATTCAAAATATTAAATTAACTTTATATTTTTAATTAACTGGATTTTTTGTTACAAAAATAGTTGGTCTGCTTAATAGCATTCACTGGCTATGTGAATTTGGGTAAAATACAGAAATTCAGGGTAAAATTCCTGTAAATCAGTTTCCATGGTTAAAAAATGAGAATATATAAATTAAAAAACAGCTGATATATAATGAACAAAACTCCCAGTTTTCTTTCTTTTTTTATTCAAAGTCATATAGTTGTTTGTTTACTGGGGAGAGGGTAGTAAATAATACAATATTAAAAATTATCTCTTCTTATTTGTTATGTCATTGATAGGTCACTTTGAAACTTGAAGGTCAACCACAGGGGCTGATTTCTGTCCATGAAGTTATGAAATATTCTTGTTTTATCCAATGGAACATTTGCAACCTTTTAGGCTAGTTATGTGAAAAATAGTCTTATAACTTGATGCCAACAGATTCAAACCATGAAGCCAATTTCAAAGAAAAGAAAAGCTAAAAAAAATTTCATATCCTAATCAAGTCACACATATTTGCCATCTAATGAAGTCAGTAGTCCTATTCTCCAGTAGGTTAAATCTTTAGCAGTATAAAACTATTAGGGTGGTGTCACACTATTCCTGCTAAAAAGATTTTCCCCACCTATCAAAAAACCTAAAACTCAAAATTCAAAGAATATTTACTTCCCTCCTTCCCCCAACCAAGCAGTTAAGAAAAAAAGCATGACATTGCATAGACTAACCAAGTATTCGAAAGTTTTATTGTTGTAAAATTCCATTGTAAGGACTATACTTTAGGGAACTTCCCAGAATTGAACACTTAGCCAGAGTTCATTAAAAAAAAAAAAAAAAAAAAAAAAACAGAAACAGAAACAAAAAAACAGGTAAAAGGAAAACAGACAAACTAGGTCAATTTGCCCCATAGAAACTCTTCCTGCTCTAAAATATCCACAGGAGAAAGTAGAAAACTTTTTTAAGCATAACTTAGTGGTCAATAAGAGAAGGGAAACTACAAAAGGTCAAGACCGATGAGAAAGTGCCAGTATAGAAGGGTAAGCAAACAGTGGGGCCTGTGTTTCCCTGGTGTTAACTATGCCCAGGCACACAAGAACCTGGTTTTTATAAAACCTGAATAGAGCTTAGCAGGCAGTACTAAGCCCAGTAATAGTGGAAAGCTGGGTCAAATGGCCTCCCTTCCCACCCTACCATGAAGAAAGCCAGAGTCCTTTAAGGGCCACTGCTCTTAGTTTTGCACAGTAAAAAAAAAAAAAAAAGCTGCCTAGCAGAAAGCAATGAGATTTTTGAGGAAACCACAGTATTATACTTTACCTCTCTGGGTAATCTTCACTTAGATTTCTGCCTAATAATTAAGTTCTGCCAAGATAGTGTAGAGCAGTCATCTAACTTGGCAGAAAATTGGAGGTTTATTCCCTGAACAAGTTGAAGACAAGAGTAGCCTAATGAAAACCATAGGAATCACATGACAGTTTAGATTCTAAATTTCGACACTCCATTCAGGCACTCAACACATTGGCAGCTCCACTTTACACCAGTCATGAGGGAGGAAAGAAGACTCTTCTGAGGAAGCTGTGTCTCCAAAAAGGATATCCTAAAGATAGGGATTATCCTCAGAGGTTCCCTACCCAACTGAGCAAGTCAGATTAGGACAATAAGCCCTAACCCTGGACACAGAGCTTCCAATAAGAATTTTAGTGCTCCACTTAAGTATACATGAATGGCCAAGAACCATCATGAACAAAGTCTCTAAAAGAAAATTCCTTTCCAAAGAAAAAACTAACAAAAACAAGAACTTGGAGGAAACATTACGCAAAGAGAGGAAAACTTCATCAAAATAGTACTAATATTGTCAGAAAGGAGTATATCCTTGAAACAAGAACAGGATAAATTTTTAAAGAGAAAGAACCAAACATAGTTCTTGGAAATAAAGAAGATAATAGAAAATCCAGGAATTACTAAATTCAAAAACTAGTAAATATTGAATACCTTATTGAATAATTGTTTGGAAGAAAAGTAAAAAAGATGAACAGATAAATAAAGTGATATACTGAGACAAAGGAATATTATTCACCGCTATAAATAAATGAACTATCAGCACATGAAAAGACACAGAAGAAACAAGTGCCTACTACTAGTGACAATCAGGAAGGTTGTACAGTATGTGACTCCAACGCCACTACATCTGGAAAAAGGCAAAATGATGGCGACAGTACATTAATCAGTGGTTGCAAAGGTTAAAGAAAAAGAAAGATGAACAGGTGGGGCACAGAGAATTTTTAGGGTGATGAAACTATTCTGTATAATACTGTAACGGTATCTCCATGCCATTATACGTTTGTCAAAACTTGTTAAATGTGCAACACAGAAAGTATTTAGGGATAAAGACCCAGGATATTCTGCTAGGTAACTATCAAATGGTTAGCAATGAGTAACAGTAATACACAACTGCCAGCCACCACCACAACTCCTGCTACACTGGTCCTTGTGCGTTTCCTCAAACTCAGTCTGCATCATGTACCTCTTCTTATAATCATAATTTATAATGATGTATGGTTCTCTACTTAATGACTACCTCACCTACCAGGCAAAAAGAATTCTAACTTACCACAAAATCTGGCACTTAGTTGTAAGAGTGGGGAGAGAGGGGTAGGAAGAAAGGGAAGCCAAGTCTGCTGAAGAGAAGAAGAGGAGAAAACATTCATATTAACAGCTATATTGGCCTCCTTGTTCCTTGAACTTGCCAGGCATATGCCTGTGTTCCTTGTGTTCCTTGTGCCTGGTAGGCGCTATCTACAAAGAGCCTCATAAGGAACTCCTTCTTCCTTCCTTTAACTCTGTGTTCAAGTGGCACTTTGTAGATGAGTTCTTCCTTAACCAGCCTGTTTAAAATGGGAAGACCTGCACGTCAACACCCTTAGTCATACTTGCTTTATTTTTCTCTATAGCACTTACTATAGGCTACAGTACTAGATAACTGATTTATTGGAAAATTATCTGTCTCCCTATAAGATTAACATTAAGAGCAGGGAATTCCTTCAATGCTATATTCTTAATACTTAGAGTAAGCCTAGTATATAGTGAGATGCAGTAATAACTATTTGTTAAAATGTAGTGTGACTGACTACATACAAAAAGACAGAATTTTGTCAAAATCTTGTGTTCAAAGTCTTAATATACATTGTATTAAATGTGCAAAACTACCATTACCCACATACGGAAGGACTACTTTCACGGTGTTAAAATGGTCTTCCATTTTCAAAACGATGCTTCTAGGTAACTACTTTTCCCCAATGTTCTTATTTGCCAAAATGAGACAGGGTCATATCTGTCAGTCTATTATTTTTAATAAATTGTATTAAGCATTATAAAAACCTAGAAGCATTGGGACTAATGGTAAATTGGATTAAAAATCTCATCAGAATGTCATTTCACTCTCTAGCTCAACAGACCCATTTAAAAACACAGTCCCACCTTCAAATATCTTGTATTGTCAAGCCTCTTCATATCATCCTGATTCTGATCCTTGGTGCTTCTTATGTATGGACATTCCTCTTCCTTAGTTCTCTCTTCAAATTCTTCCTTTTTAAAGACTTCTCTTCCTTTGTATACCAAGAAGCCATTCCTTACTACTCCCATCTACATTCATCTTTCTCTCATCTGAACATCTCTAGTCCTTTAAGTACAGCTTCTTCCAAATACTAGTTCATCCCAAACTAATCCTGTAAGAATCACTTTGGGAAGATTAAGAAAAAGGCAACATCCAGGGTCAAAGTACAGATTAGGAGAGTGAGAATTTCCAAGACTGAGGAAAAGGAACCAGGAAAACGATTCTGAGCCACAGCCCAATTTAGGAATAAGCAGCCTATGTAAGTCTGAAATAAGTCATAAAATCCATTCATTATATTTAAATAAACACTTACCTTCTAGAACTCATTTAAAAGAGAAGGATAAAATGTCTTAATCAGAATAATCACAATAGTGGTGTGACCATCTGAAGACCTCAAATTAAATATCAGTATTTATGTCTTATGTTAGATCATTCATAGGAAGGCCTTAATTTTGAAATAAATCATTTCAAACACAATCACAATATTGTGACATAGGAATAGAGGCATTTGTGAAAATACTGTACTGATATTACCATAGGAAGGCATATATTCAAAGAAACTAATATACTTAAGTTAGCTCAAAAGGGACAGCAACCAAGTTCAACTTTAAAATGTTAACCTAAATGTAGTCTACAGACCTGTTTGTTGTTCTCCGCCATAGCAAGCTGCAATGCCAAGAGCATGGAGTCTGCACCACATACAGTAGTTCTCTCAGAGTTACAAAGAGTGTGCCAATTCCTTCTGAACTTTTTAATCATGTCCAACACAGGCTTCTGATTAAGTACAGACATCCTATTAAAGTAGGACAGAATGCAATGTTAAAAGCTTTATTTTAATTGGAAATTAACATTTAACATGTGTAAGCAAGCAGAGTTGCAGAAAAATAAGTAGTGAACAAGAGGTCATTTCATATTTACCAAGATTTCTTTTAATTAAATTTAGGAAAACAGAATAATACAATTTTTGCCCAATCATATTTTCCTATCCTTTAGTTTTCTTAAGTCCAATTTTTGAAATAACAAAATTTAACCTTGAATCTAAAAATTCATATAAAAGATGCGAGGTCTACAAACTTACAATTATAGACACAGATATAACTTATTAAAGCTATATATATATTTTTTTTTAAAGATTTATTTATTTGTGCATACAGAACTGGGGTACAGGCCAGAGGCTCAGGGGCGGCGAGAGGCTTCACCAGAGACAGAGTGGGGAACAGAACAGGCAGATCAACGAAGTACACTGCTGAGGGGAGCAGCGGGCGGGTCAGGAGAGGTCTGCCACGCCATGTGGTCTCCTCCGGGGCAGGCGGGAATCGAACTCATGCGGAAGCGGCTTTAGATTCTCAGTGCTGTGCTTTAACCCGCTGCGCCACCAGGGAGGGCCCTAAAGCTATATATTTTTTAAAAGAATTATTTATTCATACAGAACTGGGGTATAAGCCAGAGGTGTAGGGGTGGTGAGAGGCTTCACCAGAGACAGAGTTGTGGGGGGAGGAGAGGGGGAGGGCACAGGCAGAACAGGCAGACAGACAAAGTACACTGCTGAGGGGAGCAGCAGGCAGGTCAGGAGAGGCGCCATGTGGTCACCTCCTGGATGGGGGATGGAACTCACACTGAAGCGTCTGTGGCCAGCTTGCAGTGCTGTGTCCTAACCCATTGCACCACTAGGGAGGGAAGGCCTAAAGCTATATTTTTAAAATATTATTTTGAGATTTTTTTTAAAAAGTCAATTTTCTTCCTTTGCTGTTTTCCCAAAAGAGGTGTTCTGCTTCCACTCCTCTGAATCTATATCAGCCTTGTGACTCAATGTGACCAAGAGAATAGGATAACAATGACATCACAGGAGTTTAGAACTTGAAGCTCAAAAAGCTGGTACAGGAAAAGTTAATATGGCATGCCTGGGTACTATCCTTTCAAAGTCTGCTCATCCGATTGGCTCTTAAGTGGCATCTGGGAACTGGATTTCAGGAATAAAAGTGGCTCCTGTGCAAACATAACAACTTATTCCAAACACATGATAACTCTATGTTTAGTCCCCGCAGTAATAACTCTGGGCACTAAGTTGAGAAGAAGCTTCCCTGACATATGTCATTTCACAAGTGTTGTCCCAACTTGCTACTGTAGAATAAAGCATGTTCAGTGTGACTCCACTAACAAAAGGCTCTTAGAAGCCAGTGTCTGGTTACCCCGAGGCTTCTCTCTATGCATCTTCTCCCTTTATTGGCTTTTGCTTAGTCTATTTTTCTGTAGTAAATTACAGCTGTGAGTATATGTATGTTTATAAATATCTGCTGAGTTCTCTTAGAAAACCATCCAACCTGGGGTGGTCCTGGCCTTGCAGTGTTAGCTCTCACCCTGTTGCCATCCCCAGACTGCCACCTAGAAAAGGCCAACCCAGCCAGCTGAAAAGGCCCTCTGAGCTGCGGCACTCCTGCTGACAACCAGTACCAACTCACAGATATGTGAATGAATATGGGACTGGCTAGTCCCAATCAACCTGCCAAATGAACTGCAGCCATGTGAGTGACCCAAGGCAAGGCCAGCAGAACTACCTAGCTGAGCAGGTTCAGCCCAAACTGCCGATTCACAGAATCCTAAGCAAATAAATAGATGTTTTAAAGTTACATTTTGGGGGTGGTTTGTTGTACACCAATAGATAATAAATGCACTAAGTTAATATTTAGGAGCTTCTTTAATACCAGATTTTTCTCAAAAGCTAACTGTTTAATACCTCATTCAGTCTTCGCCATAGCTTATCTAGAGGGCCTATTATTATCCTTACCTCTGAAGGATGAGGCATCGCATGTCACTATGCTAGTGACCAAACAGACCTAAACCCACGATGCCTCACTCCACCAGGTGTGCTCTTCAATCACTACATCACATAAATTCTCTTGGTGCAGACAAAGGTCGTTCAAAATAATTTAACATAGTTTCAATGTTTTATATACCCAGGATTATACAAGGCTCTCAATTTCTTTCTCTGATTTTACAGATAAGACTGCTACAATTTTTTTTTCTTACTTTCATTCAAGTATCCTGGTCGCCAACATATTCATAGGCTATTATTTTATTTTCGCTATTTTATTATACATGTTACATTTGGTTATTCTTTCTGCTATCTTTTGTTCTATTTTCATGCACCATAATCAGAATCCCAGAAGTTTCCTACATACTTGGTATGTAGTACCATTTTGAAATGTTAATTTATAGATACAATAATGAAATTTAAAGATATAGGTAGAAAAACTACAAATTAATATATCTACATAAATACAAATTCTGTAAGCATCTAAATCATAGTTCTCTCCAAAACATTACTTTCATCTCTTGAAGGAAAAAAAGTGAAGAAGCAAAGCTTCCATGATATGACCCGTTTACCTGAAATAACTTTTAGCAGTCAATTATTTACTGGTGCTATTTAAATATATTATGACTTCAAATTGCTGAGAATGAAGACTAATCTGCAATTAGATTTGTCAGAGTCCTGGCTCCACCACTTATTAGCTGCGAGATCTTGGCTAAGTTATCTCACCTCTCTGTGCCTCAGCAACCTTGAACTGAAAATGAAAATAATAGCTTCTATCTTACAGCTTTGTAAAAAGTAAATGACATAAGTGCATGTTAAGCTTTTACAACAGAGTCTGGCACATACAAAAGCCAACAGTCTCAACAGGGCTCAACACACTTTGGATAGGGCTGAAAAGAAAGTAGTTGAGGACTGCAGGCCCTGCGGCTTACCACAACTTCTCAAGTAGACACTGCAGTGTGAAAATGACCATAGACAATACACAGTCATCTAACATAGCTAAGGTCCAACAAACCTTTCTGAAAACTGAAATTTGAATTGCATGCAACTTTCACATATACTCTTCTTTTGATTTGTTTCAAACCACTTAAACATGTAATGTCCATTCTTAGATCAAAAACTGGCTGCCCAGAAACAGGCAATGGGTTTGCCAACCCTGGTCCAGTTTCAGTTCTTCCTGTAGCTAGTGGATTGCTAGATCCTAGGTATACACTTTACACCTGACTGCCTAAGAGACATGATCACCTAGTAAACAGAAATACCTTCCAAGCAGTCATGAGGAGTCAATGAAAGAAAGCATTTGCAAGCACTCTGCATACCAGGCTACAACATGGAAAAATAGGAGAAAGTGTCAGCACGGCGATAAGAAACACTTGTTTGTAAAAACTGAGTTTCAAGGTGCCCTGGAGTAAAAATAATGAAATGAGAATTTGTCACTGGGGAGGCAGGCATCGTGAGTTGGTTACAAGTACTACACTGGGCTCTCTCTGGTGGTACAACAGGTTAAAGCACCATATTATGAAGCTCTACTGAGCCGCTACAGCACTAGTTCGATCCCCTGCCCACGTGACCCACATGGCTCAGACCTCTTCTGACCCTCCCACTGCTCCCCTCAGCAGTGTACTTTGTCATTTTGCCTGTTCTGCTCCCCGCTCTGCCTCTGGTGAATCCTCTCAATGCCCCTACATCTCTGGTCTGCACCCCAGTTCTATAAACATAAATAAATAAATCTTTAAAAAAAAAAAAAAGTACTACACTTCTGAGTCAGACTGGCAAGGATTCAGTACTGTCTGTCATTTAGTATTTAAAATTTCTGTTGAACAAAATGCCTTTATCTGCAAAACCGGGAGGTTATCCAGTCTCTTAACGTTGACACATTAGGAAGACACGAAAATAATCCACCCAGTGTCAGGCACTTCCTAAGTGCCCAATCAAAATAGAGCTGTCCTTGCTGTTATCATTGTCAGAACGAAGAAACTAAATTTTCCATGGGAAGATGTAACAGGTAGAGGGCGAAAGTTACTGAGCTGCGTGTCTGGGAACTGGAACCCTAGCTTTCTGCCAAACTGATGAATCTAAGTTCATCAGTTCATCGTGGGTGTCAGTCTTCCAGTCTGCAGACTCCTCAGAATCTTCCAGCTTCAACCACCACTAGATACTGGGAACCCCCAACCAGACCCCAGCGCGAAGCCGCTGCACAAATAATATCACAGATGGTCACACGGAGCTTGGCTGTCACCAAATAATCCTTCTCACGGGCTGCGACTTGAATCTGTACTTTGAGTGTGAAAGGCGAGCAAGGAAGTTGCAAGACTGACCTGGCCGGGGCTGGAAGCTGTGGGCGCTCACTCAACTGAAGAAAGGTCCGATCCGCAGCACAGTCGCTGCAGCTATAATTGTGACTAAGACCAGTTCAAATATCGCGGGAGAGCCCGAGAACCAATCACCGCGGCCGCCCTCTGACCCGGAAGCAGAAGTACGGGCGCCGCGGCAGCCCCAGTGGTTTCTGTTCTCTTCCGCCTGCTTCCTGGCGCCCTCCGGTGCGTATCGTGCGGGGCCGGAGCAGCTTTACAGCCAGCCGCCCTGCGCTCCCACCCACTTATCGCGGGGTACTACCTTTCCAGAACCGAACCCTCCTTCCCCTCGTCCCTCCGATCCTGGGCTGGGGGAGGTGGAAGAGGGGTCCTGCGGCACTCGCCCGCCGGGGGTGTAGTTGTGGGGCTTCTTGCTGGGACTTCTCTTGTCCTCCCCTTCCTCTGCTCTCCAGTTTAACTGGGGCAAATCCAGCCAGCCGCTGTGCAGTGGGACCCTGAGGATGTAATGAGGCTGGATGCCACTTGGATGAGCAGTAGGGCGCCTCTTGTCCTGTATAGAGCCTATCCCTTCTACACCGCTCTGCCTCCGAGGGCATCACACCTGCTGTCCACCCAGAAACGTGCACTCCCGGATGTCCACTCCTGTTACTAGTTTATAAACGCCCTGAGCTGGCCCTCATCTCATCCACAATAATACCCATCAAGTAACTGATGTGTTTGTTGAGCCCAGCTGTTTTCAGGACAACTCCCTAACCCAATTTAGGAAAAAACAGCCAAAAAAAAACCTCTTTGAACCCCTAAATCCTCATCTGGGAAGGCTAATTCCACAGTTCACACCAGGCCAACACAGGTTAGTTGAAGTTTTGTGCTTGGTCTTAAAATTTTTCATGTCACAGTCAGCACTCCTTCCTCCAGGTCCTTTTTGTGTATCTGCTGACAGTGCTTTTCACACTGAAACTTAGCTGTTCCTGGTTTGAGATCTCCTTCAGGATGGACTGTGTTTTCATCTCTAACTCCCTCGTCTCCAGCACAGTGCAGTCTTTAAAATTCTGGCTTGTCTTAAGAACATGGCAAGCTAGTTAACCTCCTAAAGTGTCAGTTCCTTCATCTGTAGAATGATGAAGTACAACATAGGAAGTACCCACCTCTGAGGTTTTTGCAGGTATTAAGTGTAAACATATTGGTAAAATGTTTAACAGGAAACGTACAAATAGTGCCCTGTAAATGTGAGCTATCACGGATTTTTTTATGAATATACTTGTTAAAGTCATTCCATCTTCAAGCACTCAGTATATCTTTTGGATCATCTGAGTGGAATTTTATGGTGACTTAATGTACAGGTGTCTTTCACAGAATATTTCAGTACTTAGGTTTTATTTTGAACTGTTTTATTTTGAACAGTTGCAGTACCATAACCTTATCTTGATTCATTTGCTGAAAGTGACTAACCCTTTGGTGTTTTCTTTGTCTGTGCTATATTCCACAGTTTCGTGACCTTGTCCAGTAGAAGGCTACTTTATTTTTACAACGGCTCAAGTCCTGACATAGAAGATGAAGCAAAATGCCACAAGAAATGCTGCCTACACTGTGGACTGTGAAGATTATGTGCATGTGGTAGAATTTAATCCCTTTGAGAGTGGGGATTCAGGAAATCTAATTGCGTATGGTGGCAATAACTACGTGGTCGTTGGCATGTGTACATTTCAGGTCAGTGTACAAAATTGCAGTGAAGGACTGAAAGGATTTCACTAATCAGAAAGCTTACATGGTATGTTGAGTTCGAATGTGAAATTTTATGAAGAATTACAAGGAAAGATATTTCCCTGTTGAGATTTGTGCAGTAGTGAAAAAGGAATAAGACAAGACTTTTCTGTTGTTTCATGATTTGTAATGAAATATTCTGGTAAGGAAGATTGTGATCAACTGATTTTTGGTATATACAAGGAAAATACCATTGAAATGATGTCTAATAACTTAATCCAACTTCTCTACCTTCCTCTTTGACATAGGAAGCAAGTTAATGTTGAGAGCTCAGAAAACAACCCTCCAGAGATTTCGTAGCTATTTCATGATATTGTGCTTTCCTAGTAGAATGTTTTTTTATATATATCTAAAGCATACACCTAGAGTATACAAAGGGTGGGATTATACTAATTGAGCAAGAAGCTTAGCATACTCATTAAGACACCTGGGCAGCTTTACTTAACAAATGACCTCAAGCAGGTACTTACCCCTCTTCTATAAAATGAGGAAAACAAATAGGTTTTTGTGAAAATATGATGAGTTAGTACACATAAAATTCTTTGAAAGTATCTGGACTTCACAATACATACACGTGTTTTAACTGTCATAGATTTGGTCAGTGGGGACACTCAGGCATAGACCCACATTGATTCACCAAAGTAGATTGCTTTGTGGTGAACATAGACCATGTTTTCTTACAGGAAAGCTGGTTCTACTTGGAGGCAGATTTTGAACAATGACAGTTGAACCCTAAAAAAATCTCTGGTGCATTTTTGTTTACCAGAATGTTATTCTTTAGCAAATTAAGGTTAATCTTTGTGGTATGTGGCAGTGACCAATTTTCAATGGTTTAAAGTATCACTAAAGTGATATTATAAACATGAATATTATTTCCTCCTTTGTCCAACAGGCAGTATTTTACAGTGTTTTAACATCATAAATGCACCAGCATTTTGCAGTAGTACAGTAGTGTATAAAATTATACAAAATTAGATTGCATTCATATTTATCCTAATGGGAAAGTATGAGTTTAAGGCTTCACTTTGCTGGTATAAGTGCTCTTGCCTTATTCCACATTGTCCCTTAGGATCGAGGTAGAATTGCTAGCTTTTATGCCAAATATGACCCTCAGCCTGACTTCAGCTAGACTACCAGGGTAGGATCATTAAAAAAAAAAAAAGAAATCACATGATTGAAAGAAATAACATGAAACACTTTAGTAGCCTACTAAGCTACAAAAGAATAAAGCAGCCCCCTACAGATAAAACTAACTTGTTACATCATTATTTTTTAAATTAATAGCTGTGAACATGAAGTTGTATTAAAAATACTAAAAGATACACTTTCCGTCTAGCTTATGTTCAGCTAAGAAACACTGAGGGGAAAAATCAGCAAGGGAGAAAAAATTAGGAAAAGAGGCAGAAATGATTGATAGCAGAGGTAAAAAGTAAAAAAGCTAGCAAAAATTTATTGCTCCATTATAATTTGTGGTCATGCATTGTCCCTGCTGATGTGCAGACATGTGACACTGATGGAAAGCTCTTAGGCCTAAATTATCTAAAGACTTATTAATTTGCCAAGCAGAAAACACAAATTTTATTCTGTGCCAAATATTGAACATACACTGGCCTGGTCCTCATGGGTTTTCTATTCTCCTTTAAAGAAGTTCATGGATTTGTATGACTAGTATATGTAAAACGAGAGAGAGACCCATTCTTTTAATATTTTACTTTGAAGTAAAATTGTTTTACAACACTGTATGGGATTCAGAGGCATCGGCTTATACTCTTCAGGTGTATGTTACCACACACATTCACCTGTGCCTAAAGTCCCCCGCTGCAGTCCACTGTGCCCTACCCAGTTTGCTGGCTCTCCCCACCCTTATCAGTAGTCTCAGTTCCATAATCAGATCTTTAGGGTTTGTTGTTGGTCTGGTTTTATGTCACCTTTTGTTTTATTTCTCTATATGCCACACATGAAGTGAAACCACCCAGTGTTTACCTTTCTCCTTCTGACTGACTTTGCTTAGCATTAACCACTCTGATCCCATCCATGTTGTCACAGGTGGTGAGAGCTCATCTTCTTTTTACAGCCGAGTATAGTAGATCAGTTGTTAGTATTTTGAGAACCTTCCATACTGTTTCCTTCGAGACAATACCAGTCTACTTTCCCACCACAGTCCAAGGGCTCCTTTTTCTCGCAGCCTCAGCAGCCACTGGAGTCTGATCTCTAATACGAGACATTCCCACAAATGTGAGATGTTATGTCATTGTGGTCTTACTTTGCATTCCCCCAGTGAAAAGGGATGATGGTCTTTTTCTTGTGCCTTTGTCCACCTTTTTGGAGTAGTAACTATTCAACTCTTCTGCCCATTTTTTGATTGAGTTACTTGTTTTCTTTTGCTGAGTTATAAGGGTTCTAACCAGGTCTTTTATATCAGTCCCTTGTCAGATGTATGTTGTGCAAATATTTTCTCCCATTCAGTAGGGTTTCTTTTCATTTTAGTGATGGTTCCTTTTATTTGGCTGAAGCTTTGTAGTTTGGTGTAGTCCAAATTGTTTATATTCTTTTTGTTCTCTTGCTTTGGAAGACAAATCGACAGAGACGTGACCAAAGCCCATGTTATGAAGTATTTTGCCTGGTTTTTTTTTTTTCCATGTATTTTATGGTTTCAGGTATTGCCTCCAAATTTTTTACCCATTTTGAGTTAATTTTTGTAGATGGTTAGAGGTCTAGTTTCATTCTGTGGTGTATGGCTATCCACTTTTCCCAGCATCATTTACTGAAGAGACTTTCCTCTCTCCAGTGAATACTGTTGCTCCTGTGACCAGGAGTGTGGGTTTATTTCTGGGCTCTTCATTCTAATTCATTGGCTAGACTCCATTACCTGTTCTTTTCCTTATACTTTGCTATTCAGAGAGATTGAAGCTGTAGTTCAGACAGTTAGAAACAATTGAGTTCCATTAATTTGCTCTTGAAAAGTCAGAATAAAATATTTCTTGCCTTGAATTTATTTTTTTATCTAATTAAACACTTCCGATTCTGTCATGTTAGACTCTTCAAGATCCGTAGCACCAAATTTTGTGCTTCCCTCTTGTCTTGAAAGAAACCTAAATAAAGGTCAAGATCCGTAGCACCAAATTTTGTGCTTCCCTCTTATCTTGAAAGAAACTTAAATAGAAAGATTTCCACATTCCTTCCAGAAAAGCGATCCTTGGGTTGAATAGTGTTATTGATTGGTATCATGTATTTGTCACATATTACATGCAGACCTGGTGCTAAAAAATAATAATAGACCTTACCCTCAAGGAAATGTTTAAATGTAGAGCACTACAATAGGAAAATTTTTAGAAAAGTTACGTGTGTGTGTGTGCATATGTGTATATTTAAAGGACAAAAGGAGTATAAAAGTTTCTAAATCAGTTCAAAAGACCATCAATAATAAATTGAAGTCTCTGTTGAGACTTGGATGAGAGCACTTAATTTGAGTAAGCATTTTCTTATATATAATGTGAAACCAAGGATTTCACATTAGTGCTTGAGGTGACAGGCTTCATTTGACAGACATTTATTGAGCACTTGTATGCCAGACTGCTCAGATCCAAACATCATTTAATAGATTGGATTCTGGGCCAGGTTGAACAGCTAAAATTTAATTTGGATTAATGGATCAGATTGAACAAGCTAAAATTGAGTCAAGACAAAAGATGTGTAAAGTCGTAAAATGATGGACTGCTGAGTTAGAAAGGAAAATTGTGTCTTACAGTTTTTAGTCACCATAAACAATGATTAAAGTACCAAAGGAAACTAATTCAGTGCTGTCTCATAGAACTATAATGTGAGCCATAAATATGAATTTAAGTAGTATAGTAACCACATTATCAAAAATAAAATGCAGATGAAGTGTTCATAATACATAGTTTACCTAGCATATCCAAAATATTTTATGTCCAATGTAAAAAAATCACTAAGATATTTTATATATTGTATACTAAACCCTTGAAATCTATATATTTTGCCATTATATAATATACATAACTCATCTGAAATAAGCCACATTTTAAGTGCCTAATAGCCCCTTGTGTCTAGTGGCTACAGTTTACATAGCACAGCTCAGTTGTTGCTATCAATTGACAATAATCTTTACTTTAGTTCTTAACCATATATTGTGATTCAAAAGAGAGAATTTTTGGATGACTTATTTCAGAGTGGTATTAAAATATTTAAATCTGTCCTGGTGAAGAGGTAATTTTAGGCTTAAAATGTTAACAGTGGATTTTATTATTTGCATTTCTCTTTGGAGTTGTTGACTTCTGGTACTTTACGACTGATGCTGAGTCAACTGCTTTGAGTATATTCACCCAGAGAAATCAGCTATGGCCAGATATTTGCCATCACTGCTCTGTTGACTCCTTGTATGTCCAGAGGGCACAGTTTTGAGCAATTAATAAAATTTACTTGGAAATAGATGTTGGTGTCAGGTTGAGGAGAGCTCTTCTAATAATAATAGCTACCCCAAATTGAATGAGTGCACCTCAATAAATAGCTAGTTCCCCCACACTGAAAGTATTCAGAGAGAGAGTTGTGCAAAATGGCCTACTAGAGATTCAAGCATTAGATGAAAGAAGTGGACTAGGTAGTTTACAGTCTCATCTAAGAGAAATTCTGTATTTGTTCTTGGCGGGTGTAGTGAGAGGGCCTGCCAGTTTCAAACCCTTAGAGTAGTCCTTTCATCAACCTGGGTTTGCCCCAACCTCAAATATGCTGGAACCTTGTATAATCATTTGTGTTAGAACAAGTTTTCCAAAGTATCTTAATTTCCTGCCTATACAATACTGCCTACACCCCAAAGTAAACCCGAAATAGCATTTGTCTCTGACTGTACCACACACACACCCTGACCTTTTAGTTGGCTCAGTAACAGACATTGGTGCCAGGGAATAAAAGGTTTGCCTGGTAATACATAAAGCAAGGCTATGTAGTGTAGTCCCTGTGGTTTCTTTATCTCCACAGCCATCTAGTACATACTCTGGATCGCAGATTCTGACTTAATTGTCAACACTATTGTCAAGTAGCAAATTAACATGTATTTTGAGGGTTAAAAACTTCATAGAAGTTTTATTTGTCAAATGTAGAAAATAGATGTAACCCACTATGAAATCAGCTATGATGAGGCTCCTAAACTTAATTTTAAATTGCATAGTGGTTGCTTCCTTGGCATATCAATTATTTAACTATACAGTTACATGCACAAATTATGAAGTAATAAAAATTTACTGTTTTTTTTCCTTGACAATACATTTTTATTTCCTTTTTCATTTGTGGAAAAACATTTTGCTGTTATCTCTTAAGTTCACCTGAAATTTAAAAGTAGTTTCAAGGGGTATCTGAATTATATAGACAAAATAGTATAATATATCTGAAATGACTTTGCTAGGATCCCAAAGGCTAGCCTAGAAAAATTAGCACATGCTAGAATTCAATATACGTACACATTATAAACCTTTGCATTTATTGTCAGGGTGACTAGAATTCTTAAAACAACCTTCCAATCATTCCTGCTCACAGAGACACACATATATTCCATCAAATATCAAGTTTCACCTTCTCTGGACTATTTCCCTCTCAATATTTTGTAGTCCTACAAATTTTATTGAAAAAGACTACTCAATAAAGATTTCTTGAGCAATTTTGTCTAAAAAAAAATTTGCTTTATTCTCTGGACCCAGTTATAGTATTGATTTAAATAATGATGGTTTATTGTAAAAAATCACAGTATTTCAAGCTTAGAAAAACTATTTTAAATATTTTGTCTACATAAGAAATAAGGAATAATAATAAAATAATTCCATATATGCCTACTCCCTAGCTTCGGGAATGGAACTTTAACAATCTCTTTGAAGCCCCCTTTTGCAGTATATCTTCAAATGTTGACTCTTTCCCCATTCTCTATTTGCTCCTTTCCAACCCAAATTAAAACTTCTGGGCAAAGAACCTACATAGGTGAAGACCCCAAAACAGAAGTCACTTTTGGGAAATCTCAGCCGTTATTTGGTCCTAATATAAGTTTGGGGCTTGAATACTGTCACTGAAATCCCTCTTAGAATTTATTTTTGTCTTCTTTTTGAGTAATTATTTCAAATGTGCCTTCCAATTGCTCGACGTATTAGTTGGTTGGGTTTTTTCACCCATTAATATTTTCACCTAAAAGTTCTTTTTTTCATTTCACTTTTGGTAATCATTTGTGGCTTACTCATATTTTTCTAGTATCTGTTATTTCTCAAAAGTATCTTGTATAGAGTTTTGTTTATCTGACATCATTGCAGGTTTGGTTCTGTCTGGTATTTATTTCACATGTAGGAGTGAGTGCAAGTAAGATCATGCTTGATTAAACAGTTACCTGTTCACCTTAAAGAGAATTTGCCTTTGTCCAGTGCATGTAGCCACTACTCTTTTGAAATAAACAGCTTTTTTCTGGAGGATATGATTCAAGACCCAAACTTATATTAGCACCAAATAATGGTTGAGATTTCCCAAAAGTGGCTTCTATTTTGGAGTCTTTACCCATGTAGGCATACACTTGTATAATCTACACACTGGTACTGCGTAACATTTCTGTAAGTTTTAGTTTTGGGTGTTTTTTTTTTTTTCTTCCCCTTTTAAGGTCCTGGATCTACACTGAAGTTTCTGATTTACATCCTTCCTTGTGCAAGCACTAAGTTTTATCTTTGTCCCTTACCAACTGAAACAGTTACTGGATGTGGACAAATGTCCTTCAGATAGCTGCATGCCTCAGTGCTGAGTTGCTTATCTGGATTTAATTTTTGCATTATTTCTGTAATGAAAAAACTTTTTAGGCTGTTATCCATATTGCCAGACATTGATGACTTTTTCATTTGTTTTCCTCATCTTCCCACAAGGATAAAATGAAATAATTTTAGTAGTACTGAAGTAGGTAAATTAACTGCCTTTATTAAGCACCTAACTCATAATCAAATATCAAAAAAACTAAACCAGCTTGTTGTTGTTTGCATATTCTCTATTCATAAGCTGTAATGGTATCAATGAACAATTTATAGCATCTTATCCATGCGTTATACTGTATTTAATACTGTGAAAATCATCAATACTCATAATAACAGTTTTCAAGAAAATCAAAACTTTAAGTTCAGTTTATTATTTTATATTGTCAGTTGATAAGCCATATTGATTCATTATCTAAAATATTCTGATGTTTGGGACATTCATTTTCTTCGGTTTTGTAATGAAATGTGTTTCTATTTGAAATAAAATGTCTCCTGAGATAAAGTATAGCATATTTACTGTTTGTTTTAGTTACCTTAAAGAATTGTGTTGTAATGCTTGGAAAGCTTTTGAAGATTTTTGTTTTTGTTCAAAAAACTAGCTAAGTCTTAATGTCTAATCTGTTTTGACCTTCTCAAAAGGTCAAACAGAATATTACATTGTTCTAAGAAGTTACTAAGACATTTTCTTTGTATGCTTAGGAAGAAGAAGCAGACATTGATGGAATTCAGTATAAAACACTACGAACATTTCATCATGGAGTCAGGGTTGATGGGATAGCTTGGAGCCCAGAGACTAGACTTGATTCATTGCCTCCAGTAATCAAGTAAGGTTAAAATTGTTAAATGCCCGATTTGTAAATGTCCTTTGTGTTGATCTGAAACCTTTGCTCTTAGTGAAATTTTTCCTCCGATTCCATTTTTACCCCCATATCCAGATTAGGTATTTTAACATTGGCTGCTAGTTCATAATTTAAGTTTATTGTCCAGATTTATGAGTTAAATATGCAACCATAGAAAAGATACCTTAAGTATGTGTTTGGGCCTAACTACAAAATTCTTTACCTGAGATTTGCCAGGTAAATCATTTGAAGTCTTCGTAGACTTAGTGAATGTACCACTTCTTAAAAGTACTATTCTGTTAAAATATATTTGCTCAAGTCATGAATATACTTTACTGTCCCTTGCACAGGCTAACGTCATTTCTTCATGTTTAACAATACATAAAATTGTAGTTCTCCTCCTTGGACTTCAACTTTTATACAGCATTTGAAAGAATGATTGCTTTTTGAAAAAAACCTTAAAGTACCTGATGAGGCCTTCTTCCTTAAGGAGTAATATGACAGGTTATTTACAAAACCCTGATCTTGCTTCCACAAATGTTAACCTCAGAGATTTGGTAAATAGTATTTAGCAACCATAACTTACTCTGACTGACCTGACCTAATTTTTTTTACCTAAGGGACAACCGTGAAATTCTCATCTCTTAAGTATACAGTTTGATTTGTGTTGACAAACACATACATTTGTATAATCTACACACTGATACTGAATAACATTTCTGTCATCCCAAACAATTCTTTGTGCATCTCCCAGTCAGTCTCTGTGCTTCCTCCCCTATAAAAGCAGTCAGTCCAATGTCTATTGCCAGAAATTAATTTTGCCTATTGTAGAACTTAAGGTACATGGAACTATACAGTATGTAATTTTTGTTTTATTTAATGTTTTTGAGATTTATCCTTTTAGTGTTTGCCATTCTTCTCTTTATTTTTTAATTTATTTTCTGTGTATTGTTCCATTATATAAATATATTGCAGGGTTTTTTATCCTTCCTCCTATAAGTAGACACCAGCTATTAGGAACATCCCTGTGTATGGTTTTTGATTGCTAGATCTTTAACATTTCAAGAGTAAAAATTTCCATAATGGTTCTACCATTTTATATACCCACCAAAACCCATCTCCAATTTTTATTATCAGTCTTTAACTTTAGCTGTTCTAGTGATATTACAATGGCATTCTTGTTTCCTGAGAGATCTTTGCCTACAGTATTTATGGCTTCTTTGTTTTCTTTTAGATGCTTTTACAAATTTTACCTAACTAAATTTTGAATTACACAACTTTACACACAACTCTTGTCAACAGACATATGTCATTTTCAGGTGTGTTGTTAATATCCTTTTATATTAAAATGAAGTGTCAGAGAATCTGAAGCTAAACAAAATCACCCTCTTTGTAGTCTCCAGCAGATTTTGAAAGCTGTAGAAGCTGTTTTCTTCCTCTGGTTTTGCCTGGCATCTATTTTCCTGCCCTCTGTTTAGTGGACTTGTTGTATTATTTCATCTTTTTTATTGTTGCATTTGATAAGCTACCTCAGTCCTTCCTGGACCTATATAAATATGAATAATAAATTCAAACATTAACCTACCATTAATTTTAAACACAGTATTTTTAGAGCAAGCTAACAGTACAATTGTGTTGCTTTCAAATAAATTATATATTTTTATTATAAAAATAGTAGATGCATACTATATCAGATTTAGAATATATGAAAATGGGGGGAAAAACCATCTATGCATTCAATACCCTATTTTTTATTCATAATTTCACACATAACTGTAAGAGTTTATTCTTACTTTACTCTTTCATCATGCCTGAATAGTGGTATGTTAAAATGAGTATAAGTTTATATAACTCTTACTATCAATAACTTTCATCCTTAGCATTTAATTTCTTAAATTCTATTCTTTCTATTCCTCTGCTTTTCTTTTTCCCACGTGTTTTTCTTGTTGTGAAGAGAACTACTTATTTCATTGCCATTTTTTAAGTTTACATCTGAGAAAGCATTGGACAAGAGGAGTTTTTCTGCTAGCTTTGAGCAATCTTTTTTCAGTATCTCTTAATAAATCACTGAAAACAAATTAGGAGCCTCACTTTTATTTATCTTAAACTTGATTTAAATTAATTAGGTGTGAAAAAATATTTTACTTTAATGTAGTTGGGACTAGAGAATTTTAGATTATGATTTTACCTTAAAAAATTAGAAATCAACTGGCTTTTAATATATTAATGTAATTTCAAATTTACTGCTTAGATTGTTTTTAATGTAAACATTGAACTACTTTTTAATAGTTAGCATAAAACTCAAGATGTCTTAAATATTAATACAAATAATACTCCAGCATTAGTACATACAAGTATACCAGTTTTTATAGGTGTAACAAGATTACCTTCTTTCATCTAACTTTATGTAGAAGAATAGAAAAAGTAAAAAGGCCTATAGATGACTACAGAAAGTAGAGACAGAAGTAGATGTATAAAATATTTTTAATATCTATTATTTACCTCACTAAGCTGGACATGCTTTTTTTAACCCATCATTTATACTTTTAAGAAAAAGTTAAAAATTAAATTTATGTTGTGACTTGTAATAAATTTTTACATTTTTGCTTTTGAAAAGACAAGTGCAAAAATATAGTAGTTCTTGGGTCTTTTGGGGGAAAAAAGATGATCCTATAATATTTTTAGAACACGGCACGTTTCCCTTTCCATCCCCTAAAGGATAGCATAACTTTGTGACTGAAGGGGAAGAGAACTTTTATTTACAGAAGTTAAAAATGGGTGTTTTCTTTTTGTTTGTTTGCTTTTTGCATCCAGATTTTGTACTTCAGCTGCAGATATGAAAATTAGATTTTTTACTTCAGATCTTCAAGATAAAAACGAATACAAGGTATGTTGGTCAAGTATATTTATAAATTTTTACTTTAAACAATTTTTGCTTTTGTAATTAGATGTATCCTGATTTGCTATGACTTTTTATGGTAATCTTCACATGATTTAGAGTCTCATTTGCTCCATTTTGGGCCATAGTGACCAGGTTCTTTGTAAGAATTGCAGATTATAAATCTTATATCATTTGTTAAAACAGTTAGCAACACAGTAAATTAAGGGCATAGAAATTCACAGTTGGATATGGTAGAAATATAAGCGACATAAACACATAGATATAGTAAGAGTTGAACTTCAGGAGAACAAATTATCAGTACAGCAGTGTGTAAGGCATAATCACAAAGTGGTTCAGAACTCTGGCAACATTCCAGAGTGCTGGGTCTAGTCTATTCACTATTGAGCAAGTGAATAAAAACTTTAGAAGGTGAAGTCCATGCTAGGTGTTCACTGGGTGCTGACAAATGTGCAGGTATGAGCTAAAAAGTTGAGGAATGCCTGTGTTTCAGTGCCCCGGAGAGTTCGTCTAGGTTTAATTTTTATTTAAGTTTTATTAACAAATGAGAAAGAAGGTGATATAGGGACAGGTACAGTAAAAAAAAAAGATGTGTTTTTATAAGAAATGAATACTAGAGAAAAAAAGATCAAGCTAATAGCAGTGTGTTGAATGATCAGCTTCTTTCCAAGAGAAACCTAGAAGCATAGGTGTATAAATCATGCATTAAAAAATAGCAGATTGCTTAAGATATATTTATAAAAATTGTGCAGTGAAAGCTTTTAAGGCAGTAAAATAAAAATATTACATAGGGTTATTGTAGATTTTTTTCCTGGGTTCTTACTAGCTTTTCCTTTTATGTCAGGTTTTAGAAGGCCATTCAGATTTCATTAATGGTTTGGTGTTTGAGCCCAAAGAAGGCCAAGAAATTGCAAGTGTTAGTGATGATCATACCTGCAGGTATGTTACTTATGTTACAAACACATGTTTGAATTTTTATCTAACTTTAATCAGCATTGCCTTCTAAAAATCAGAGAAAATATAACTTCTGTGTAAGAGATTCATACTACTTTCTGTAAGTGTTTCAAAGCTGATGAGTTCTCATCCCATTTAATGTAAGCTTTCTTTGCTGACTCATGGTTGCCTCTTTCCTGGTTCTTATTTTGGATTGTACATTAATGAGATCTAAATATGTCTTAATTCAAATGTTCCAGTATCAGGCAAGATCAATAGGATAATAAAAGACAGTTGCCCATATTTCATAGTCATTTCACAGGTCCTGTCTGATAAGTCATTATTTAATAATGAACTGTAAATCTTATTTGCTAAAGGGAAATGCAGTGTTTTGACATTCAGGTCTTCAAGTTTTTTGTTTTGTTTTGTTTTTTTTTTGTAGATATAACACATTTCATTCCCAGCCCCTAGTTTGAAATGGAGAAGGCACCTGTAACATTTTAGTAGCATGTTAAACTGACAATATCACAAAGAACAAGATGAAGGAGATGGAAATAAGCTGAGAGGTTAGGAGTGTGAAGGAAGAACTGGTCTTTAGAGCAGTGCCAACTGCTTCATTTGCTTTAACAGTTCTATGAACAGTTCTGCTATTTTGCATAGTTATAATATGTGATAAGGTTATGTCAAAATAATTAATATTTATAAACACCTGTATGCATTTAAAACATTTAAATATCTCCTTCCACATTAAAAGTTAAAGCCCATAGCTACTCTTAAAATTTTAATTGTAATAGCTCATCTTTTTAAAATTATGGAATCATCAGCCATTATTCTTTATGGACTACCTGTTAAAATCTTCATGAAAGTTTTACATGACATGAAGATTCTAAGGACCCGAGATGCTACAAAGCCAAATTTATATAGAGACCTACAGAGCAAGCCATTTTTAAGGTAAACATTAGATTCAATCACTAGAAATAAATAATGGCATTTAATGGACTTTACTAATCACAAAGATTTGGAATAATGAAACCTGATATGATGAAAGCCAAGGATTAGCCTCTGATTGGTGTATCACTAGAGACCTCTGGGATGATGTTCAGTGGTTTGTGATTATTTTGTTTCTTGTGGTAGATTTAGGGATTTGTATAAACAAGTAAAATTGTCCTATAATTTTGGGGATTCGTAGGGAGTTGCCAACTTTTTTATTTTGTCAAGTAATAAGAATTTTAAAAGTCACGTTTATTGTTATTGCCATCACTTTATAAAAAGAAAGAACATGGTGATTCTTAAAAGGAGAAAGGGCCTAACTTCAGAGTAAGCCCTTTCACTTAAATAAATTTAACTTTTTGAAAAACTCAGCATGTTGCCTCTAGTGGTCTTACTTTGCTAGACTGGCTGACAGTGTTATCATTCAGCAGATTCTCTTGCTTCTCCACTCCTTGGAAGAAGGACATTTTTCAATTCTGTTGATCTTAACCATCTGACTTGTTTAGGCCAATCTAATGCTAACAGGTATGATACAGGTAGACACTTAAAGAATTTTTTACTTGGTTTAGTTTGACTTACTATCCTCTTTCTTATATGAAATGAGTATTTCTTAACTAGCTACTAGTCCAAGAATGAGAAGCATGTTGAGCTAATATTGTCCCATCTGGCATTACGAAATACAGCTTCCCAGAAACCTGTAATCAAAAACTTTATGCTTGTTTTGTGAGGAGGATAACATCATTATAGCAATAGTTAGGAAGGTTGCTATATTTAGAATTTGTCGCCTTACTTTACTAACCATAAGTAAAGTTCAGTTCTGTTTGGCTATTAAAAACATATCTCTTAAGCCAAAATCTAAGCAATATAGATAATATTGTAAAAGGGCATCTCCCTGGTGGCACACGGGGTTAAGTTTCAACATTACAACGCTAACCACAACACTGTACCATGAGTTCGATCCTCAGAGAGCTAACACATTTATGGTGCAACAGACCTCTCCTGTCTTGCCTGCTGCTCCCTTCAGCAGTGTATTTCAGTCACTCCACCTATTTTGCTCCCCACTCTGTCTCTGGTGAATCCTCTCACCTGAACCTCTGGCCTATACCCCAGTTCTTACATACATAAATAGATAAAATAAATCTTTTAAAAATAGCATTGTTAAAAGGAAAAGGTGATTATGACTGAAATAGGAAGTTAAGGAAGAATAATATCATAGTAACAAAGACAGAAGGAATTCTAAAGGGGCATACTCCGATAGAAAAATGTATCAGTACAGTTGTCATCATTAACTCAAAAGTATAGAATCATTAAGTTACAAATAAAAACAACGCCAAATGGCAACTCAGTAATTGGAATAAAGGAAATGGCCACTACATCCCAGTAGTCATTCTTATCACTGTACTAAAGTAGTGTCAACCATATTCTGGATCTGCATGACAGTGGTCAAGGTATGTTAGTGTAGTCCTTACCCATTCATAGTGAACCTGTACCATTTGGGACTTGGTTTCATATGTGGGTGATACCATGTTTAAAAACATGCTAAATAGAATAACTAGGTCAGTATGGATGTAGAGAACTTAAACAACACTGAAGTCAACTAGACCTAACTGACATATACAGAACATTCCCAACATTCCCAACATCAGCAGAATACATATTCTTCTCAAGGTACATGAAACATTCTCCAAAATAAACAATGTGCTAGACCTCAAAACAAATGTAAATAAATTTTTAAAGACTGAAACCATGCAAAGTATCTAATTTGACCATAATGAAATAAAAGCAGTAATCAGTAAAGGAAGGAAAAATAGAAAATCTACATGTTTGTGGAAATTAAACATCAGCTCTTTACACATGGGTCAGAAAAGAAATCATAAAGACAGAAAATACTTTGAGGTAAGTGAAAAGCGAAACTTTGAGATGACTAAAGCAAAAAGTAGGACTCAGGAATTTATAAACACTTACATTAGTAAAAGAAGAACGAATTCAAATCAACAACCTAAGCTTATAACTGTAGGAGCTAGAAAAAGAACAGAGGAAACACAAAGCTGAGTGAAGGAAATAATAAAGCCTAGAGCAGAGATAATCCAAGTAGAGAATAGAAAACTGTAGAATGATATCAACAGTTTATTCTTTGAAATATTATAGCAAAATTAAAAAACCTATAGCTAAGCAAACAAAAGGAAAGGATGTTTCAATTAATAAAATCAGAAAATTTAGGGACATTACTACCAAGCATACAGAAATGAAAAAGTATAAGCAAATAAGATAAACAATTATGTAACAACAAGTTGGAAAACTTAGGTGAAATGAATAAAATCCCAGAAAAACAAAAGCTGTCAAAATCCAACAAAAAATAGGACATCCAAATCATAACATTGTACATCTAAAATTTTTTAAAAAGGAAATCTGAATTGATATATAACAAATAATGAGGTTGAACCAGTAATTTAAAACTTACCAACAAAAACCCTAGGACAAAAGATGTTTCACTAATGAGTCTGCTAGACATTTAAAGAATTGATACCAATCTGTCAACTGCTTCCAAAAAATAGAAAAGAAGGGAACACTTTGTAACTCATTTCTAAGAGGTCAGCTTTACCCTGATACCAAAGCCAGGCAAAGAGTTCACAGGAAACCAAAGACCAACAACCCTGACAAACAAATAGAGAAGAAAAAAATCCCAATAACATTTTATTTTAAACTAGAAAACTCTTAGGAGAAAACATGGAGACCTTCATGACCTGGAATTTGCCAGTGGTTTCTTAGATGTAATGCCAAAAGCACATATAACAAATACATAAATTGGAAAATTTGACCAAAATTTGAAACTTTTGGGCTGCAGAGGAGGAGATTGTCAAGAGAAAAGACAGCTCACAGAATGGGACAAAGTAATTACAAGTCATATGTCTGATAGAGGTCTCCAATCCATAATATATTTTTAGAAACTTATAACAGTAAAAATGATTAAAATGGTCAGTAAGATAAATGAGTAAAATTAGGGAATAAAATTTTCTAAATATACTTTATTATGTAAAATATTACAGCCTGTGCAAAGGAATATTAACTTTATATATATACATAAAAGACTAAATCACATTGTTTTCAATTTTTGGTATAATATGGATTTTTTGTGTGTACATAGAAGAACAGGGGTGTAGGCCAGAGGTGTTGGGGATGAGAGGATTCATCAAAGACAGAGTGGGGAGCAGAACAGGCTGACTGAAATACACTGCTGAAGTAGTAGTTGTGAGAAAGAAGAGGTCTGCTGCGCCACATATGGGTTAGCTCCTTGGCTGGGACTGAACTCAGGCTGTAGGATGATAGCAGCATTGAGACTTAACCCCTTGCCACCAGGGAGGCCCCAGTATGAATTCTTAACATATGATAAAGAACAGAAAAAAATACGTATAACTTGGTGCCTGTGTATTTCTTGTGGTATTTGACATTGACATTTCCTAGAGATACAATTTTATAATCAGTGAGGCAATTTTTAGCTTTAAGTACATTATTTCTGGACCCTCCCTGGCACAAGGGTAAAAGCGCAGCACTGTGAAGCTTTCTGCAGCCACTGAAGCAAGAGTTGGATCCCTAACCAGGGCGGGGAACCACAGGGCACAGCAAACCTCTCCTGTCCCTCTCATTGCTCCCCTCAGCAGTGTATTTCAGTCAGTGCACCTGTTCTGCTCCCCACTCTGTCTGGTGAGTCCTCTCACCCCCTGCACCTCAGGCCTGTACCCCAGTTCTTGTATGCATAAATAGCTAAATTTTCAGGAAAAAAAAAAACAGCATTTCTAAGGCAAACTTTTCTGAATAGGTAGGTTTATAAAGTTTATGAATTTTATTGAAGATTGCCAAATTCTGGATCAAACAGAATGAGGGTAGCTCACTTACACTGGCATGTCAGTAAACATTGCTCAATGTTTTTATTTAGTGTTTTACTGTATGCTAACCCCCATTCTGACTCCTTACCTATATAAATTTATGAAATTTTACAACTCCAAGCTGGGTACTTC